AAACCATTTAAAATTGAATGAAATATTAAATGTTAAAGTAACCCATATAAACTAAGTATTATGGAAGAATTTGATTTTCCAAACACTTATCCCACATAGGAAAGTTAGAAAACTTTGGTGTGGTTTATAAGGTGGAAGTTTGGAATTGGGTTTGGGCCCCAAGGGGTACCAATAGTATTTGGAAGGGGGAAGACCTATATCCTATTGGGTTCGGTCATAAACACACACACGCGCACCGCCGCCGCCGTCCGTCCGACCGTTCGGCACGAGCACGTGCCCGTGTCCGAGTCCGAGTCCGAGTTCGGTTCGGTGCGGGTGCGGGTGGACCTTTGCACTATATTAACTTTTTGAACAAAAATTATTTAAAATTTTGGACCAAATTGTAAATAATCAAATTCTTGGGTACAATATGAAATTTAAATTTTGACTTATTATTCCAGGGTGTTTTATTTTCTTTTAACAGTCGTCTGTTTACCGACCAAATAGTCGACTGTTTACCGACCAAACAGTCGACTGTTAACTGACTTAACAGACATGACTTTTAAGAACAGCATGTCTGTTCGAATTTTTGAGGCTTGTCTGAAAGGTGATGACTGTTCGAATGGCCACGAACAAGTCTATATATAGTCTGCTTCTCTACCAGAAAATACACACCATTTTCATTGCAAACTTTCTGTACTTTGAATCTCATTCCCCTCTCTCTCATTCTGATATTGTCTCGAAGTAAAACACACTTCGTTGAGTTCGTTGAAACTCCTGTAGATTGCAGTGCTGCTTCCGTAGGAGATGAAAATTTGTTCTATCCTGGGAAACGATTGCTGGACGCCTTTAGCACCATTAAAGGCAGCAAATTCGTTTTAAGGAAACATCGTGAAGTCGGTGGGCTCGAATTATAATTTTGGATCCTGTTGATCAATTCTTACATTCAGGTGATTCTATCGGATTGTTTTCGAAGGAGTAACTTCAAACTCCAGAAACAACAGAAAATTCATACAAAAAATTTACGCAGTCCCCACCCAATAAATCAAATGAACCCCAAAAACCAACCATAATAAACCAATCAAAAGAATCCGAGAAAAAGAAAATATTTACATAATCCCCAACTTACTAATCCAAGAAACACATGAAACCCAAAAGAAATAACTCTATAACCCACCGCTCATAAACTCTAAAATATCACTAAATAAAGCACCATTAATTGTCTTAAATATAGATTTTATTCTTAAAATTTAGATACACACAGCAAAAGAATTAAACAAAAATGCATAAGAAAGGCTAGTTCTTGAAGTTTATTCGCATGCCACCGATGATAAAAAGCGAGGGAAAAATAGAGAGAGACTAGAAATACAAGAATATGTGAATAAAAAGTAGAGAAAAGTTGGGTTTACACGTAGAATATTTTATTATGAAAATGTGTGGTTAAAAATGAGTTTGAAAAAAAAATGTTTGTTTTAATGGTTATCGAATAGGGGCTTAATTCTTGCTAAATTCGAGTTGATTCGATCCTAGTTTCAATGTAAAATTCAATTGGACTAGTTAAATCCTCGTTGAAAATAACGTAGTATTATTTTGCCTCGTTTTTAATTGGACTTACCATTTCCTTCCAATCATGTCTATTTTGATAAATCTAAAGCATCCTTATGGATGTTCATGAAGCTTAAGTTATGAATCAGTTCAAATAAGATATTTCTTAGATTCAATCGTGACATCAATAAAGAGTTAAGCGTCAAGTTTTTCATAACAACTTCGAGGCTAAATCACTCATAAACATATTTTTCCTTTACTCCAATGGGATTTATCCTAGTTTTTATAACATCTGCTTTTAAGCAATTACTACATAAATTTTTAGATATATCCCAATAGAGGTGGGCGTGGGTCGGTTCGGTTCGATTCCCACCAAAATTTTTGGGTATCGAGTAAATGGAACCATCGGGTCCAAATATAATTATGGAACCGTTCGGGTTCGATTCGGTTCCGTACTATATTTAAATTTTTTAACATTTATAACAATATTATATAAATACAACTAATGACACATTCAATGCTTTTGGAATGTCAGAGACTAGTAGATTACCTTGTTTAAATGATCGTTACGGTCAAAACTTCGGTCGACGGAGGTTACATCGTCGACCGACGATTGTATAGGTTTTCGAATGTCAAGGAGGCTGCGAGAGTGAGTATGAGAGTCCAGACAGCGTTATGCACTTTAGTGTAGATGTTTAGGGTTATTTAGTAGGTTGAATCTTATTTGGCTAAGAAATGAAACAATAAAATGGGTAATTGGGCAAAAAATTAAAAAATTAGAAATGAAACAAATTATTGGGCAAAAAATTTGGATTTAGAAATTTTTAATTTGTTTAGAAAAAATTAAAATTAAAATAATTTGATTTATTTAATATAAAAAAATTAGAAATATTCGGTTCTTATTCGGTTCTTGGTCTAGAACCGAGAATTGAATCGTACCTGTCGATTCTCAATTCAGATACTCAATGTATTTAATTTGACAAGAACCGTCGAGTTCGATCGGTTCGGTTCGGTTCGGTTCGGGAGATTTACCGAACCCTATATCCCAACTTCGTGTTGAATCAATGGGTCTGATCCAGTTTTTGAAATACCCAAGACTAAACCACATGAAATTAGTTAGTATGTAAATCAATTGAAGTTAAATATTTGGTATATACACTAAAAATAAATTGATTCTTGTTTTTTTTCTTTTTTTTTTTTTTATAATTTCTTCCTTTATTTACCAGTTATTTTTTATTTTTTGTGATTTTATATTTTAGTTCAAAATGAAGGTATGTTAGTTAATAAAACATGACATTTTTAATCGTCAAATGGATAAAATCGTTCATTGCACATTGTTGGAGTAAAGGCTCTTATGTGCAAATTTGAAGTGGTTATTTGAAAGAATTATTCCCTGTGTACAGGAAATAATTCACAGAACCCATACAGGTGCAGCGTTGGCAAAATCTATATGGTGCATTTGCTGTCATTTTTGGGCTCGAAACCAATGAAAAATTGTCAAGTATTAATCTGTACAAATTCTGTCAAATATTTCCTATATCGGCAGCATAATAATATTTGAAAAATGAAACACCTATTTGTTTTAAGATGAACCCTTGGATATTCTGTTGTAATTTGTTCTCAAAATGATGATAGTAACGTTAATAGTCAAATCCTTTGCGTGAGCACCCGAACGGCGATGAAAGCAATTATCTTTAGCATTGTAATCGTCATCTCTTTCGTGTTCTCTACAATGTTATTGATAGTTTGAGCCCCACGGTACCAAACCGAATTATTTTCAATGGTCACTTTTGAGTAATTATAACTTTAGAGTATTTGTTAAGCACTGTATAACCTTATTTTTTATATTCATTGCCCTAGCCATGCCTTTTTTTTCGACACCGAGGCATTAGAATATGAGGTCTAATACTATAATTGGCAGGTAGTGTGTATCAGAAATCCTTAATTCCCCCATTTGAGCATCATTTTCTAAAAATTATTTTTTTCACAAACTTATTTTTAACCACACATTCTTCCAATAAAATAATTTTGTACGAAAATGTATAACTCTTCAATACTTTTTTAACTGCACATTCTCCAAAAAAAATAAATCACTGCTACAAAACTCATTTCTAAGTAAAAAGAGTCCCAAATATGTATATTTGTTAGACTCAATTGTTGACAAATTTAAAGGTGTTAAAATGCGCCATAGTTTGGAATTGAAAACTATCTAATTGAGTTTAAAAATCATTCAATCCTGCTTGAAGTATAGGGACCTGTGCCAGGACACACATACAATGGGATCCCGTCACATTTTTTTTTAAATTACATATGGGGCCC